TGATTATTTATAACAAATATGTGTTGGTTTTTCTAAACTGTCCTGATCTTCTTTCATGTGTATTGGAACTATCCACTCGATAAGAATTCCTTTGAGAAAGAAATTATAAAATTAAGAGACAAAGTATATTAATATCTTATATTTAGGACAAAATACAATCCCCAGCTATTTCTTATATTAAAATAGGCAGTACTTTTGTTTTTCTTTTTTCTTTTTGAATCACTTATATGGTTTGTAAGGGCTAAATTGTTAATTGTTGACCAGAATGTTGGTTTTTTTTTTTTTTGACCAGATTGACCAGAATGTTGTTGGTTACTGCCATCGTCGGCAATTGTAGCTTGTCACAGCTTGGTTTATCAGATCTTCCCAGAAGCAACATATTAGTGGATGCCATGTGAGTTAGAAATATCATTTGGTATGAAGTATAAAAATGAAAAGTAGAGAGCCTATAATTATAATTGAAAAAAATCATTAAAAATTCTTTAATACCGGGACTTCGTGAGTAGAATATGTAAAACAAACCTCTCCCACCAAATTTCTACGTCCTTTACGTCCTCAACTATCTACTGATATTATATGCAATCTGTGAATTTGAAAAAGTCGGCAGAAGCGATTGGTGAACCCCAAAAAGTTTTTACTTTGTAATTTTGAGCAATAGTTTATCAATTTTTAGAACATGACTTAATTTGGTTTAATTTTAAAAATTCAGCTACCCATTTCATATTGTTTATTATTAATGGTTCGAATTATGAGTTTTTATAAAGCTTGTTATTTTATTGTTATCCATATCAAAATCAAAATATTTTAAAGAATGCGTGTGTATAACATATGTATATATTTTCTTAAACAGGACCGCCTGAGCCCACCACTGACTACTGTAAGGGCCGGGCTTATAAAATTGATTGTTTTTAACATGCGGGCCCACAGCCCGGACTACGCAGGCCCGTTTTCCGTACGAACACAAACAGAATACTCTCAAATTGGCAGCCTCTCCCTACCCGTCTGTCTTGGTTTTGCAAACAGAGTAGAAGATGTTCACTTAATGAAGTCATCCTCGGACAAGGCTTTGAGGGGGCAAGCCATTGTTTCAGAGAGAGGAAATAGAACCATGAAAATTATCTTCAACTCGTGATTTTTCTTTTCACGAGTTACTAGTTCCATATTCCAGTTGTTCTTTTCTTGGCTGCCATCATAACCTCAGTCTCGGAGAAGATTACGGGGAAAGATACATGGGAAGGGAGCAGTCAAGTGGAGACTAGTTAAAACCCTGCAATTTTGGGTTTTGATTTGTAATTTTGGATGCTTACATTTTGATGAAGCTTTCATTTTATCAGATTATTTTTCTAGAAGATTCCCATTCCCAAGCCTTCTCATATTTACATTGCCAGTTGCCTTACAATTCATCGCATCCATGGTCACAACTAGAAAATGAATAAATCCCTCCATCTCTGTCCATGGTAATTCAGTCTTTTGATTATTATCGATACAATTTAAAATTTGAAATTACTTTTCATTTGTATTTCAAATTTGAATCCATGGCATTCTTTAGAGAGAGAATAACTTCCCCTGAGAACGGTTTAGCCAATGGCACCATCCAAACTGGGGACATCATAAGCGATAAAACCCTACATAGACTTGGACTCATTGTCATACATACAAGTGAGATAGAAAGAAAGAAACTCGTCTATGTAAATCATATTCAAATCTGCTTCTGCCAGTCAAATTTCACCTTTCACAATTCCGGGGGCCCTCTAAACTGTGAAACACATCATCAGCATGGAATATTCTTTCTCATCCACGACAGTGCTGCCGTGGTAGGAAGGTGTCCTAAGATTTTTCCAATTTCATCACTTGATGCATTATTACATACTTTCACAGCACTTGGCATACTGCCATGACCAGAAATGAATACTAAAAATGAAAACATATTAACATAAACAGTAATGGTAGATTCAGGAGCAAAAATAATCGTTTAACTTCACTTAATAGTATCAGATCAAGTGTTGGATTATTGATTTTGCTTCATCCCCATCTACCACACATATAATCATATAATGTCTTCATTTATAGCTTATCAGAAAATTTTCACCCCCAAAAAACCAAAAAGTAATCAGAAAAAAACAAAACCTATCTTGAAATTGTAAACAAGGAATCAGTAATTACAAAACATGAACCAACGAACAAAAAGAAAGGGTTTTGGCAAGGAATATTGTTCCCCGACGTCCTAATGGAGCATTATATTACAACACTGGATAGCGAGGGGAACAAAATCTAGGCTTCTATAAAACATTGCAAAACACAAACATCAACACAATTGTGCCAGCAAAATCAATTTGGGATATGAAGCCTTATGTTGATAAGAAAACGCAAACTAACTTATATCATAGAAAATTCTCTCCTCAAACCGAGTAAGCCAATATAAATATAGTGGGAGTAAAAGCACATAACTCAGTCCCTTAGATGTTCAATAACGATTGCGATCATAACCGCAAGTCATTACAGGTCTGTAGACTCATCACAGTTAAATGCGATACACTCCCAATTGAATCATTCAAAGGACTCTCCGAGAGCCTAAAAAGGGGGGGGGGTAAATAACTTGAAAGAAATGTTGCTGCTCAAGCGTTCTCCCAAATCAACGTCGGAAAAGAGGGTTGAGGGAGAGATTAGACAAAAGCAACACAATTTGCTTTCGCTTCAAGGGAACGAGTCAATTGGGAATTGAATTAATCCGCAATGACCAGATAATGAAGCTAAGTAAAGGATTCAATACAGGGTTACCAAGGAGATCTGCACGGACTCCATTGAATTCAGATCGGCGAGAGAGCGAAAGGTAACAAAACCCTAATTAGAGCTGTGGAAGAGCGGCGACCAAGAGACGAGTGTGGCCAGGCGCCTTAGGCCCTTTAACTTATAGAATAAGTGGCAGAATGATCGGACGGTTAAGAAGACATCTATATCTAATTGGACGGTTTATATTATTCTCAGGCATTAGCAAGCTGTCCTAGGTTTAACGTAGACTCTGGCCCTCTCGGCTGAAAAAGAGGTGGGGAAAAAATAACAAGACTCTAGCCCAATCTTTTTGACCTGGACTCTAGCCCAATCTTTTTGACCTGGACTCTAGCCCAATTGGACGTAGCTAAAAAGTTTTAAAATAACACAATAAGACCATAGCCCAAGTGGCCGTAACTTTTTGCCCTTGCAATTGTTTGATGTGTTCCAGTTGTAAACTCCCTGGTAGAAGGAATTAATATCTTATAACATCATAAATTAATATTTAAATTTTTACTAGAAAAAGTATTCATATTTAGTGTTTGACAGTACTGCAAATATTATTACTGCTAAAAAGAGGATACATATACGGGTAATTATAACCCAAAGTCGGGTTGGATTGGACTTGATCCACCAGACTGATGGATAGGTTCAGGTAGTCCAAAACCTAAATTTTCTCCTTTCTTTTTTTTTTTTTAACGTTTTCACCTTTATAGGAGACAAAAATCACACCTAATAAACACATTTAAAGCAAATAAATACTTACAACAATATAAAAGTCATAACAAAGCATTAAAATCCCAACAATCAATTGCAATATTAAGCACAATAAAAATTCAAAGACATCCAATCCAAGTTATAACAACATTGAACAACAAACAACTTATGAAAACTTGTCTAAATTATCATAACATCCGATGAAAAATGGAAAACAAAGGATTCAAATTTAATTAAGAAAATGTTCAGCGTCAATTAATCTTCAATTCTTCATTCCTCGATCTCCTCTGCCTTCAATCGCACTTGCTCCATCTTGAAACAAATTTTAACGAAGCAATTATTAATGATGCATGATGCAAATTTGGATTGAAAAGCATAAATACAATATGTAAGTTTGAATGGGAAATATTACCTGCAATATTAACTACATTGTCAGTCTCTTGAAAGTTGTCAAATTCATTTAGCTTTGAGGCCAATTCTGAGAGAGAATGCCCAGCAAGTAGCCAATTTTGAGCATAAATAAGTGCTTTAGTCATCCTAGAAGACAAAGAAATCCTATAATCATCAACAACATGTCCTCTAGTGCTAAAAGCTAATTCAGATGCCACTATAAATACTTGTATAGCCATTACGTCATGTGTTATCATAGAAAGCACTCTATACTTGGTAGAATCAACTTTCCACCATGTCAAGATATCAAAATCATCATCATCAATGGGAATGTCTTCAGATGTGTTAGATAAAAGGTATCTATCTAGCTCTGACTGAGTACCTATTGATGAGTTCTTTTCTTTTTGGGTTGCTAACCATCTATGACCAAGATCTTTTTTACCTTCAATTATAATTGAAGTGATAACATTGCTAGAAGAGTTCAAATTGCTGGCACTACTAGACCTACTCCTCAAACAGGAGATACAAAGTGTCTCTAGCCCTATTCTTCATTGAAACACAAAGTTCAAGCTCAAGAAAAAAGTTGCTCAAATACATGATTAATGTAAGCAAGCTTGTATCGAGGATCTAGAATCAAAGCAATAATCAACAAAGAATTCAAATTATCTCCTGCCCCCCAATATTTGTCATACTTAATCTTCATGCTTAAGGATATATCCTAAGAAGAGGGTTATTAGACTCAATATTTTCTCGCAATAACTCTTGAATCAATACAATTTAACGGAAACACATATTTGTAGTAACTGTGAGTGAACTAGAAAATAGTATGGTCACATCATAAAATACCTTTAAGAATTTAAGGAAGACTCGTTCCTTATCCCAAACTTGTTTTATTAGGAGGGCTATTATGCTTAAGGGGAGGAGTACTTTGCCTATTAATGTAGGCATCCATGTAACCATTAACAAAAGCACATTCACTAAAGATATTTGTGTTATTCATGTTGTTATCATGCTTTGAACCATTGTTGAAGTATGCAATATAATCTTCATCTTCATCCTCCAATTTTTCAAATGCTTTTTGAAATTTCAAAGTAACATCCAACATTAAATAAGTAGAATTCCATCTAATACTCACATCTAAACAACACATATTTTTTGTATCCAATATTTCCAATTCACAAACATCTTTAAATTTTTGAAGAAGAGTAGGGGAGGAACAAACATACCTAATAGCATTTCGGATTGAATCAAAAGAATCTTTCAATTCCTTCAAGCCATCATTCACAACTAGGCTAAGGATATGTGCAAAATATTTTTGTTGAAGAAAATCACCACCACATACAAGATCATTCTAGTTCTTTAATCCTCTTTTCAATATGACAAGGCCGAGACATTAGATGATGCGTTATCCACAATTATAATAAACACATTTTGTTTGCTCCACTCTATTAAGCACCTCTCAATTGTCTTGCCAATGGTATTACCTCTAAGATTCTCAATCATACGGAAGTTGAGAATCCTTTCATACAACTTCCAATCATTACCAATGAAATGAGCTGTAAGACACAACAAGTAATTGAAGTCTTGAACTAATGTCCAACAATCTGTTGTGAGGCAGACATGATTAGTACACTTCTTCAACATTTTTTCAAATTCTAGTTTTACTAAGATACAATTGCCAACAATCTCTAGCAACCATTATTCTTGAAGGGATTTGAAATCGTGGTTCTAACTCTTTGACAAACACTTTAAAGCCTTGCTTCTCAACAATCCTGAATGGCATCTCATCACATATAATAAACTCATCTATCTAAAGCCTAAGGCATCATTTTTTATTGAAGACATGAGGCATTAAGCTTCCCTCTTGCCCACTTGTTGCCATATAATTTAGCATAGATTGTTTTGGTATTTGGGTGTAAGTGCCTCTTCAATGATGTTGTGCCATGCTTGCCATGGTTGCAAGCATCTTCCGTTTGTCTCCTCCTCGTCAGTAACTGTAAGTGAGTGATACCATACTTGTGCTGGTTTCCTTTCAGGCTCTTTTCTCTTCTTACGACCTTCTATAGCTCCATTTTCATTGAATAGAAAGTAGGAGAAGTAGGACATTCTACTGAGGAGGAATAGAGTACAGTAGTGGGTATAGAAGACGGTCCAGTATGTGTTGGAGTATTTTATTCTCACTAGTATAAGGAGAAGAATGAGGTTGGTCAACACTGGAGTTAAGGGTACACATGGGTAAGGCTAGGTAGGGTAGGACTATAGCCGGGAAAAAGGGCTCGTTTATGTTTATGCCCTGAATATGATGCGGGCTCGGCTTGATATTTTTCCCTTCAAATAGGAAATAAGCCCTGAAGGGCTAGCCCTGGAGGGCCGAGGGCTTAAAAGGGCCAGCCTTGGAGGGCCACAAGCCGGCCCTTTTAAGCCCTTTTATAATTTTTTTTGTTTTTTTAAATTTTTTTTATAAATTCTAATATTACTAATTTTTTACATTGTTAATAATATTTCAAATATTTAGTTATTATTATCATTTTAAAATTAAATTTAGTGTTAGACAATAATTTATCCAATTAAATTTTTAAAAAATGGGTTAATTTGGACTTTAATAATGATTTGATTTATATTATATGCGTTGATATTTTTAAACTATATATATATATTTGATAATAGAGTATTTTTATACTTATATAACTTGTGATTCTATAATTTGAATTAGAAATTCATGAGTTTCAACAACAATGTTTCTCACATTAAAGTAAAATAATAGCTAGATTGTAAAATTTAAAAGTAAAATTCCTATAAAGAAGAAAAATTTGATATTTTGTTACGAAAGAAAATCATACTTATAAAAAAGAGTAATTAATTATAGTGATGATGAAGTTTCAAAAGATTAATGATAGTATTTATTTATTGCACAATTGCACTATAGATAAAACTTTTGGATGTTGTTATCTTGTTAATGAATGTTTTAGATGTTTTGGATGTT